CCGGCAGCGCCTGCGCCTCCTGCTGCTACAGAGGCCGCGCCTACTACTTGGTTGTCTGGCAAACAAACCATGTATGCCGTTGAGCATATATTGGACTACCGGACCCGGCGCGTGGGTAAGGCTAAGCGCAAGCGCACTGTGCACGAATACTTAGTGAAATGGGCTGGGTATTCGTCCGAACACAACAGCTGGGAACCGGCACGCAACTTCACCCCGGATCTGAAACCGTTGCTAGACGCGGCTCGTCTGCAGGCCCAGTCCAAGGTTGCAGCGCGGTAGCTGATATGGCCAACCTTGGTTTGCACGGTGACCCTTCTGCGACGAGGACGTCGCTTTTGGGGGGGGACAGTTGTTGTATCCTGTATGCTTACTGTTAAGCTCTAGGCTCGGTTGCCTAACGGTCAGATGCCGGTCCGTTCAGTTCTAACACTGCTATTATTAACTAATACCTGTTTGTATCCGCTGCCGTTGATAACAGGTTTAACTAATGCTAATATTAGTTTATTGGCGGCTTACGACTGCTGCTAGTCGAGTTCGCCATCCTAATGCCGCACTGCTGCGGAAGTCCATACCGGCGTATGGGCGGGGGCTTTACCTGCGTAAAGCTGGAACCTGCGTTCCTGGTTCGTCTGTTTCACCGGGCGAGAGTAGTTCCTGTGAACTATGGTCAACCGAACATTGCACCGCCCAGTCGTACTGGGAACTTATCGGCGCGAGGCCCAAGTGGTTGCTACAACGACTATTTATTCGTTCCACTTGTCTCAACCGGTATCTTCCGATACCACCATCTATGATTGTGTCGTCTGAAGTATACTACAGGGCCAGAGACAGGGCGGGCTGCTCGAACTGGGTGTAGAAAGGGAGCTGGTCCCTTCTTACACTGGCTGGCTAATAATAGCACTGTGTAGATGAACGATGGAGGCGAATGGGGCGCAGAATAATGGCGTGACAAGCTGTGTAGGCAACCCTGCTGGCCTACGTACCCATCGAGCAAGGACGACCTACCGGTGAGTCCAGGATCGCCGCCCATATGTTCTTGGAGGTGCAGCCACGCAGCAGACAGCTCTTAGCTCGTGTCGATATGTTGGGACCGCGCTCGCTCCGTCCTGCCTCGTTCGCCTTCTATGTGGCGCATAAACAAGGAAGCAAGGCGCGCACCATCAGGGTTCATGTTCCAGCAGCATAGCAGTGCGCAGGTAAATAAAAGCACCCATGGAGAGACAACAAAGAGATTCCACATGACAGGAGGGTCGGAGTTGTTGCGAGATGTTGGCTACGGAAGCGAATGGCAAAGGAAAGAGAACGCAGTTGACTGGCGGCACGTCTGTCGTTAGTTATCTGCGAACATGAGCGAGAAAGAAGGACGATAAAGATGAAAAGATTGCCTACCAGAAGTGAGCTACGCAGAAGTGAGCTACGCTACCAGAAGCGAGCTACGCTGGCTTCCTGCGTCGTCTAAGCTGTCGCTCGTCGCCGCGCTTTTGCACAGTAGCTGGCCCCTGCCCTGAGATGTGCGCTTTGCAGTACACCAGTAGCTCTAATGGATCCTTAATCTTCGATATTCAATGGGCTCAAAGGTGCGACGCCTTGGAAATTGAGGAAACGTTAACGTTGCAGGCAAGATATCTTGCCATGTGCTGCTGTACCCTTGACGGTACAGGAAGCTTCCTCGCCGTTATATAACGCAAGGCACGCAGGTACCGTGCAGTTACTACACATTTCATTGCGCCTTTTATGCTGAAAGATTAAATATGGTTTGGCCTGAATCCGGTGTACGGAAGGCGGTAAGTGCGTATTTTGGATGGTTACGCGACGTATGTAGTCTGGAAAAAACTCGAATTGAAGTTTCAAGAGTTTATCCGGCCCTGGCTAAATTGAGCGCCTTCAGCAAGCACATTAAAGTTGTTAAGTTGCATTTTCACAAAAGCCATCCAGTAGTACTTGGTGCTGAATAATCCGCGTTCATACCCAGCAGCAGCAGCCTTCTCCTCCCGTACTCCGTGTGCATCGCAATGTGTGTGTGGTTGTTACAGTGGGCTCCAGACTCCCGAAGAGTAGAGCCATCGGGCCAGCTGGCCGTGCACTGCAGTAGAGACTAATATACAAATTAGACCATCACCTCAGATAATTAACCGTTCATCGGTGACCGCTCCCGTGAGCATAGCAATTTGCCAGGATATAATTCTCAAGAAGGGGTGATGTGCGCCAACAGAATCCCAACATTTCCGTGGAATTCCCAAAGCTGCGAAACCCTGAAGGCGGCCCCAAAAGTCAACAATAACTCGAGCAATGCCACAAGATTTTGGCAAGAGTCATCTTGACACGGCGGCACTTCGTTCTCCTTTTTTCCCATCTTTTGCAGCAAGCACTGCAATCGTGGCGCGCTCGTTCGGCACCTATTTGCAAAACAATAAAGGTGACCTTAAGTCTGGGAACGCCTTCCAGACAGGACAGCAGATTTCAATCTGAGTCCTTTGTAAGGACCCGCTTGCTTCTGTTAAATTAGGGAAGCAAAATTTGCGTCATGTCTTTTATTGAACCTAGTTTATTATAAGTGCGGTTTTGCTTTGACTGTACCGACCTTTCGCATGACCAGCTGCATACCGCACCTTTAATTCCGAAGGATTAATTTCATTTCTGTTCGTTTCGGGAGGACCATGAGCCAACGAGCTGCTGAAAGTTACATGAACCTATGAAAGTAGAAACATGTGATACTGCTCTAAACCGGTCTGTTTGTTAGCGATTTTCCAAAATCTCTGGCCCGGGTCCTCACCTTTTTCGGAAATCTTCTGCAAGATCAAGTTCATTATTAATCAACGGAAAAGGGCTTGCCCCTCGAACAATCGCAGCCGACGCCGCGCCTTACAATACAGTGAAGGAAACGAGCGATGAGTTCCTGCGTTTCCCAGCAGAAAGTGCAATTCAGGCGTGCAACGTGGAGCGAAGCGCGATGTTCATATAAAGGGGATTATTTAGAGATGTTGCACGGGGAATACACGGACGACCCTGCTCTTGCTTTCGACGAGTATTTATTGCATCATGCTTTTAAATGTTTCCTTTGGCTCCCGCTCATCCCTATCATGATTGCCTGTCGGTGGCCAGGTGGTCTTGGGGGGGATGTGCGGGGTCGTGGGGCTGCCGCCCCACTTCCTCGCACTTTCCCCTCTCTCCTGCCCCTTGTTCTTGGAAAGCTTTAGGCGAAAGTTTTTATCGGCTGGCATTAGCAAGCATGTGGGCTGTGTGCCTTTTCCAATGATTGAAACGGTTTGTTTTCTTGCATTGATCGTACACACTCTGGGAAAGGCCATCGTCCATAAATGATTCAGTATCCATATTATGTGATTTCCTATCCGTGAAATGGGTTTCCTATCCGTATAATGCACTTCTGGCGGGATATGGATTGCCCGACACTGCACTTGTTTTTGGTGTCTATTTTCACAGGTACATGCTTCTGTATTGACACTTCTTGCTTTTAATGCAGCAGCACGTCAGGAGTGCCATCCTCAGCCTGTCTTCCATAAAGCGTTCCTCATCTTCCATACGGTATTTTGTTTCCATAGTGTCCCACTCGCCTTCCATAAAATGCATTTTACCGGCCCAGGGAATTAATTAATAGAGGAACACGTTTTTGTAAGGACATGCTTCGGAATTGACAGTGCTTGCTATCATTGCATCAGGGAGGCAGGAGTATCACCTCTGGCCGCGGCAGCAGTGTCATCCTCTGGCCGCGCCAGCGTCGTCCTTTAATCCTTATGCCCAGTTAACCCAGCTTAATTGCATTATAATGCAAGCTGTTTGGCAAGTTGGGCATTACGCCCAGTGCGTAACTGTCAGACTAACCGTTTCTCAACGGCCCGTGTCCTCAGGGGCATCATTAAATGTGCGCATGAATCTGATAAGCTGAACATGGCTTTTGATGTTCAGCACAAGCTTACCATCAAAATGGGTCTCGCACCGCCATAAGGTTCTTCCTGTTGTTGCCTCTCTTCTCCTTCATTTGTAACAGGAAATGGCATTACAAAGGCGTTTGTATCTCCAGCAACAATTATTCCCATCGTTGCACGCATGTCCGACAGCTGCAGTGGCGCCCCCGTGCCCCGCGCTAGGCGTGTCAGCGTGTCAGATAAAGGTTAGGCCATCTCCCCGGCCGGCTGTCCAGACGGGCGACGGCCGCTGTACCCCAAGAGACTGCATCGCGACAACGCGGCCTTCGAAGGCCTCATCGACCGGCCCCGTCGCCCATCAGTAGTGTTATTAGTTTCTATTTATCAAAGCTGACTGGCTGGCTTACGGCTTTCGGCTTGAGACGGTTACTTGACCACTTTTTATCTTTTTAACTTTTATCTTAACCAAACTTCTTTCAACGCAGATATTTCAATGCGTTATCTTTCAGATTTCAGAGGACGTGCAAGGGGTCGGGCCGAGGAATTCAGCAAGGCGTCCGGCTCATGACACAAGACAAAATCCATAAGGAGACACAATCATAATCGTAAATATAATATAATGTAGAATATATATGTTAAACCTCCTCGTTGCGCGATCGGTTGGCTTTCGGTTGGCGGTCCGGCGGAGCGCATGTTACCGGACCCTGCCGTACGCTCGTCCCCAGTACCGGGGGCGTATGCTACCTTGCCGTAACGTGTTTAGCAAACGATCCAGAAAGTGTCAGTGCCATAAAAAATGTATATCAAAGAAGATTGTACATGATCGTTTACGATCCGCTGTGGCCACGGTATTTGCTGACTCGACGTGCAAATTCCGCGGAATTTCGGCCGTATCATAATTCCATGCCTCTCAGCCAACTTTGGAGTGACCGCCGTTACATCCGAAAGCTATCCCTTGTGTTTTGTACTCTACAAGCAAGCTCTCGCTTTGCCATGTCATTCGTTCCTTCCCAGGTGTCAAGTCCTTGCTTGAATTGGATTGAACTTATCCAGACGTTTTCAATAGGTTATATGTCATTCAAATATTTCAAACGTTAATTCGAGGCGCTTACTGGTTTAGACGTGGAATCGAGTGTTGGAACAGCTGGCCGCGAAGAAAAGGAAGACATGTACACGTGAATATGCATTACAGCTTCGAGCTCGATTCAAACTGCTGTTGCAGGTCGGGGAGGGCGTCCTGGTCTCAGGGTTCCGTTGTCGGTTAGAAACCCAAAGTCTGGCCTAGCTAAATGTACTGCTCCTTTCACCGTGATAGCTATGCCGCCACCGATATCCATGTCCTGATGCTCAGCGTTGCAAAGGCGCATTTGCCAATGTGCTCATTATTGGAGTGACTCACCCTGACACCACTTGTGGCCGTGGGCCACAAGAGCACCAGTGGTGAACCCGCAGCTCCTCGCAGAGATGCCCGCAGTCAGCGGTTCTGCTTTCATCGCCTGTTACAGACTGTGGCCGAGCTCACGGCCACAAGGGAGGGATGTATGTGGGATAAGGGGAGGAAAAGGGGGTTGTGAAGGGGGGATTTGTGCATGCCAAGTTTTCATGCACCAGATGGGTTGCTTAGGGACTTGGCATGGGTTGGCTCTCACAGACGCAATGCATTGTGGTGCTGGTATTCCTTTCAATAGGAGAGAGAGGGAGCGAGGTGGGAGGCGGGGGGTGGAAGGGGCACAGGCGGCAGGGGATAGAGATGGCAGAGGCTTAGGTGGCAGGGGATAGAGGTGGCAGGCGAGGAGGCGGCAGGCGAGGAGGCGGCGGGGGATAGAGACGGCAGGGAATAGTGGCGGCAGGGGATAGTGGCCGCAAGGGGAGGAGGAAGCAGCGGCAATGTTGGCAGCGGAGAAGGCGGCAGGGGAAGAGGCGGCAGTGGGCAGTGGATGTAGGTGCCAGGCGAGGGGCGGCGGGCCATGAGCAGCAGAAGATAGAGGCGGCAGGGAAAAGAGGCGGCAGGTAATAGAGGCGGCAGGGAATAGAGGTGGCAGGGGATAGAGGCGGCAAGGAATAGAGGTGGCAGGGGACAGAGGCGGCAGGGAATAGAGGTGGCAGGGGATAGAGGCGGCAGGGGCGGAGACGGCTGGGGAAGAGGGGGCAGGGAATAGTGGCGTCAGAGGTTTAGAGGGCAGGGATAAAGGCGGCAGGGGATCGAGGCGGCAAGGGCAGAGGTGTAGGGGGCAGGGGCGGCGGCGGCAGGGGCTCAGGCTAGAGGCGGGAGTGGTTTAGAGGGCAGGGATGGGGGCGGCAGAGGATCGAGGCGGCAAGTGCAGAGGTGGCAGGGGATAGAGCTGAAGGCGGCAGGGGCGGAGGCGGCTGTGGAGGAGGGGCAGGGAATACCGTATTGACGCAATCTTTTTGCCGAATAAATAATTAATTGTTTGGGACCTCGCAAAGTGTCAAAAAAAACTCGAAGGGGTCCCTCGCAAATATTTAAAGTTACAAAAAAAACTCCCATGGCACCTCGCAAAATGTTCTCGCAAAAATAAACAAATACAGCCGGCCGTTTGCAGCTCTTACCAAGCACAGGCGGGCCGCCGCAGCGCATGTTGATCTAGGCGATGGCAGGGGGTCCGCCAGACGTGGCTCGCGAGCTAAATCCAAGGCCGAGAGTCGTACAGTGCGCTCTTCACAAAGGCGCGCCTAAAGTTGGTCGTTTCCTTTAATACATTACGATGCCTATTCGTTGACAACGCTGACGATAAGATGCGAGCTCGCAAACTTTCATATATGGCTCACGAGCTCGCAAATTTCGAGCTATGAACCGATGCCCACCTCGCGCCTTTGCGCACCGTGGGGAGGCCAAATATGAGTATATTCCGCTAAGGTGGGACGCACTTCCGCTACCCACTGACAAATATACTACCAAAGATGATCAAGAATTGAAATTGTGTTGTCTGGTTCGGTCCTTAACTTTGTAAGGTCCATAAGGAAGTACAATGGCGATCGATCTCGACTCGCAAGCACCAAACGCAAGTACGCAAGCAATAGGATAAATCACTGAAATATTTTCCCGTTCCAAGAACTATACAATGATTATGCCCAATTAAGAGGAAGCTGAGCAATGAGTACCAATCTCAGTAAATTTGGAACCAAACACAGCTAGCAGTAAGCCTGTATGCTTATTGGGGAGCACGGTGTACGCAGAAGTACCACCGCTGCATACCGCGACCCGCAACGGACCTAGGCTGGATACCGGATGATCACCCGCACGTGGGATAGGCTGGGTGGGCTCGAAGGCATGGTAGGAGGCGACCACTGGGTCAGCCGAACTACGGATCTCGATGCGCTCTTCTGCATACGGGCTTTTATTGTCAGAACTAGGCCGTGTGCAAAACATCTGGTCATAAGTGCGTACTTGGTCTGGATGCTAGGTGCTCTGTGTGCGCCGCTGGGTGGGCTCGAAGGCATGGTAGGAGGCGACCACTGGGTCAGCCGAACTACGGATCTCGACGCACTCTTCTGCATACGGGTTTTTATTATCGGAACTAGGCCGTGTGCAAAACATCTGGTCATAAGCGCGTACTTGGTCTGGATGCTAGGTGCTCTGTGTGCGTCGCTGGGTGGGCTCAAAGGCATGGTAGGAGGCGACCACTGGGTCAGCCGAACTATGGATCTCGACACGCTCTTCTGTATACGGGCTTTTAATATCGGAATTAGGTCGTGTGCAAAACATCTGGTCATAAGCGCGTACTTGGTCCGGATGCTAGGTGCTCTGTGTGCGTCGCTGGGTGGTTGGTAGGAGGCGACCCATGGGTCAGTCGAAAATCATACGGGTCTCATGAGGATACTGTATCCGGCAGGCAGTCGACAGCCGTTGTCGACCGAATGGTGAAAGGTGCACGGCAGTGCATGCAGATCAGTTGGGGAAAGCTGATAGCCATGGGTTTGTCCCAGCAGACGACTGTGACAGGGATAGGAGAAAGGCCACCACGACATCCTGCGGAACCACAGCGGGGACAGGCGGCCTCATCGCTGCACCGCTCCACGGCGCTCTGCAGTGCAGAATGCGTCGCCGCCAGCAGAGCTGCACGGGTTGCACTCACATTGGGAAGATGATGGAAGTACAGATTAGCGAGTTGGGGGTCAAACGCGAGTCTGTAAGAGGTGCCCGCTCCGCCAGCGCCATCTGATTCGTCAGCATCCTCGCTGTCCTCGTTGTAATCGTCTGAATCACATGCCCCATGATCAGCCGCAGCTGTCAGTTCAATGTCAGCCTGTCCCACATGCGGGTGATCATCCGGTATCCAGCTGAAGTCCGTTGGCGCATCTTCTTGATAAATGTCTTCTTCTGCAATGGTAGGTCCTACAGTGGTAGGTTGGCTGTGCTGCCTTTGGGGGCGGCGTGGCACTTGGGGGTCGCGGTTTGCAGCGGTGGTACTTCTGCGTACACCTTCCTCCCTAATAAGCCTAGCACGCTTGCGTTTGGTTCCGAATATATCGACCTTGGTACTCATTGCATGCTCAGCTTCCTCTCAATCGGGCATAATCATTATGTAATTATTGGAACGGGAAAATATTTCAGTGATTTATCCTATTGCTTGTGTACGTGCGTTTGGTGCTTGCGAGGCGCCATTGCAATGGAAATTTGTGTCCATAATTATGGACCTTACAAGGTCATAAGGGCCGAACCAGAGAACTTCGGCCCTTATGACTTTGTAAGGTCCATAATTATGGACCTTACAAAGTCATAAGGGCCGAACCAGAGAACACAAATTTCCATTCTTGAAAATCTTTGGTAGTATATTTGTCAGTGGGTAGCGGAAGTGCGTCCCACCTTAGCGGAATATGCTCATATTTGGCCTCCCCACGGTGCGCAAAGGCGCGAGGTGGGCATCGGTTCATAGCTCCAAATTTCAAAAGTTTCTAAATAAACTCCGAGCGGGGCCTCGCAAAATAATAGTGTTTCCATATCCAAATTTTAAAAATTTTCTGGCCTCGCAAAATAATCGCGTCGCAAAAAGATTGCGTCAATACGGTAGAGGCGGCAGGAAGGGGAGGGGAGGGGGCAGCCGCGGAAGAGGCGTCAGAGTAGGAGGCGTCAGGGGAGGAGGCGTCGAGGGGAGGCCGCAGAGGGACGGCCAGGTAGTGAGGCGGCCAGGTAGTGAGGCGGCCGGAGATAGTGGCGGCAGGGCATAGTGGCGGCCGGGAATAGTGATGACGTCCTTGGACACTAAAACGTTTGCGTACCAGCGGAATAGACCCGCCGACCAACACATTCCCAATTCCCACTTCATCTCCACGATAAGACTGCACAGTAGGACACAACTACGTATGCACATGTATGAATCTACGTGCAATTGTGAGCGTGAAGTTTTCACACGTGCAGGGTGCAATTTGCTTGAAGTTGTCGTACATTTGAGGATGGAAATCCCCAAATGTACGACAACAATGGCGCCTATAGCAGCAGCGTCAATGAAGTGTCTCGTGAAGATCGCAAACGAAAGAACACGATTTTGTCCGCTAAGGCCTTAAGACTTGGTCATGGATGGGTTTTCCAGTCGTGGATTTGGTCATGTATGCAGTCATGGATCCGGTCATAATTTGCCATTAAGTCATGGATTTGGTCATGGATCAGTTCATAGTTTGCATAAGCAAGTGCAGGATATGACTGGTTGGGGTCATGAAATGCGTGGTCATGATGTCATTTATGATGGGATTTATGACAGGTCATGGGACCGCAATATGACCGTATTCAGTCATGGCTGCACTTTATGACCCCATGAGGTCATAAAGGTGGTCATGTACCTGTTCATAAATATGCGGAACATGACCAGGTCATATTGCGCATGGTATTCCATGATGCAACAATGCAGGCCATGACCACCCTGGCCCATGTTTTGCACTCATTCCATGAGTCGTACACTGCATTCCATGACCACCCTGGCCCATGTTTTGCACTCGTTCCATGAGTCGTACACTGCACTCCATGACTACCCGGGCCCATGTTTTGCACACATTCCATGAGTCGTACACTGCACTCCATGACCACCCTGGCCCATGTTTTGCACTCATTCCCACTCTGGGAAAGGTTTTCATCCGTAAATTCATGTTTA